AAAAATGTCATAGGTACCTACTTTTCTTCCTACCTAGATACTACTTTTAAAGGGTGGCTCATGACAATAGCTTAAACCTTAACTGTTAACTAAATTATATAGTTTGTTTACATTTCCCAGGATTAAATCTATTCAATAACTGAATACGCATAAATCATAATATAGATTTTACGAAACTCTTTTTTTTATAAATTATAATATAAAATAAGTATTTAATAATCAGATTTTTCATCTCCAATATCTATATTTTATGGAATGTTTTAAAAATTACAAGTGCTCGCTATGTGAATTTATGTAGAATTATCAAACCTATGTTATATATGGGTACCAACTACCTACCTATAATGAATGCCTTTAATATACCTCTAATTCGTTTATAATAATTGTGTTACAATTTCAAATCTAAGGGACTGAAGAAAAACCGGCCAAGTGCGAGTCGGACTCGCGCACGAAGGATTCCGTACCATCATCAGCTATAAACAAGTTGGCAACACTGCTAATATTATACATTCTAGGATTTTTAGTATTTGTTGTTATAGCATCAACAGAAATACATAATCTGTGAAAATTTCAACTTTCTAACTTTCATGGTTCATGAGATACAGCCTGGTGACTGACGGACGGACAGCGGAGCCTCGGTAATAGGGTCCCGTTTTACCGTACGGAACCCTAAAAAAAGAAAAACACTTCGTTGTAAAATCAATACATTCATTGCTCCGCTTAGAATATTATATTAAAATAAAAATTAGGTGTCACTCAGCTGTACAGTAAGTAACAAGTGGGTCACTGTCATGGATGGCGTTAAGTTTAAATTCAATGATATAATATCGTTGTATAAGAAAAACGATGCTGACTGCTGAGCGAAGACGGTCAGTCAGCCTATGATATTACTATAAGTATATTTAACGATATTATTGTGAATAAAGTAATTTATATTATAACATAACCTTGTTTTGAATTTTAAAACCTTAGCTATGAAAGTTGAATATTTTATACATTTTTAACTACAAAATAATTATAAAAATTTTTAATTTGAAAAATATTGTCAAAATTCGATTTTTAAAGTTTAAATGCTTATAAAAAAAATTGTGCCCATGTATTTTAATATTTTTCAACCACTAAAGGAACAATATATCAGGAGCCTTTTATTAAATGTTCGAGGTTTTTGACCACATTAATATTGAATACATTTGAATACAATTTTATTGACATTTATAGAAAAAAAAATTAGACTGTCAGTAAACATTCAAAACTAGTCAAAATATTTTCAAAATTTTATTAAATATAGGAATTACTAAAATAAATATATTATGATATAAATTTCAATTGTCTATACAGTTTTTCGTTTTTGAATCGCAACAAAATAAGAAAATCGCTAGATACATGAGAAATCAAGTGAATATCCAATTTTGTAAAAATATGAACTTCAAACGCTCATAAAAATTGAATTTATCTTTCTTATAAACATTTAATTTTTAATAAAGGTAGACAAACTTATAAGCAATCTTGTATTACATTTTCAAATATCAGATTTAAAAAGAAAAATTATAACTCGAAATAATTTTTAAATTTTTGTGATTTTTCGGTATTTTGTCTAGATTTGAACTTTAAATGCGTATAAAATAAATTGTGACAATGGATTTTGTAATTTTTCGAATGTCATTGTAACAATATTTAAGAGATTTGTATTACATTTTCAATCTTACTATTTACCCAACAAATAACATTTTATTGATATTCATAAAAAAAAAACTAAAAAAATTGGAAACCTAAAATGTCCGTTAACAGTTCAAAACAAATCAAAAAATTTTGAAAATGTTATCGTGTATAGAAAATGCTAAATAAACAACCAGTGAAAATTTCATGTACGGTCATTTGTTTTAGAGTTGCTACACCAAAAACCAAAATTGATTTTGTCGAAAACATATTTTGCCTAGTGCTTATAAAACTTAAGGAACAATACTTTTATTTTTAAAATATGGTGTAAATGAATATAGAATCTATAAAGTGGTCATATAAATATATGATATGATTAGTGTTGTCGGTTTTGCAATTCATTTTGAAAACTTAAAAACGCAATACCTAATAATAAATTAACAATTTTAATTTTGTCGAGACTATTAAACGTTTTATTGAAATCTGTATTTTATAAGTAGTGAATTTATGAGACATGCAAAAAATGCATACCAGAAAGACTGAAAAGACAACTAGAACATTTACACACCCGCATATATTATGTAACACACAAATCTATTAGTATAATTTAGCTCGTACTACTATATACTATATACTATTAATTAATAATTTATGAGTTTATGATTATGACTAATACAGTATTACTAATATACGTTTTTGAAACAAAACAAAAAATAGCCTAGATGAAATTCCCATGTGATGATAGTGGACACTTCAATTATATATTTATACTATGTAGACAAATTCTTATTATAGCTGTTCAGTATAAAAAAACCTTCAATTTAAATTATATATTTTAATATGACTTGCCTATATATAGTTAAGTGATAAAAAGATGAATGTACCAACTATAATAATCAGTGATAAAATATTAAGTTATTGAAATGCAAAACAAAGGTATATAGACGTACTATATATAATGGTTATAAATTGTATGAAAATAGGTAATGTTGGAAACCTTTATTACACATTATTTGTTTCACATCATATTTTTTATAGTTAACACATAAATCCCTATTATATTGGATAATGAAAAGTATAATAATGAAATAATCTTAATTTATTAAGTATCATGATTTAAGTGTAATAGATTTTATAGACACTAGAATTCAAACAAAATATGTGATGTACAAGTACAATACGAGTATTTGAAATTATAGTCGGTGGAGCTGGCTGCTTTGATTTTATATACCACCTGAGGACGCTGCACGGTCAAGATAATAATCGTAAATTTTATGCTTCTCGATGTAAACGTCTCGTTTCCGGTGTTTAAAAATAATTCCAAAAAAGAACGTCCATTAAAAACGTAAAAAAAACAACTCGCGACTTCTTTTCGGTGTGTTTGCTCATTATCGACTGCCCAAGAGGTGTCTGAACGATTACAATATGTGTTCACACATACATACAAACACACACACACAAACACAAACACACAAACACGCACACACACATACACAAACACACGCACACCGATTCTTTATTTCTCTTTTTACACATACAGGGGCCACATCGAAGGCGTAACAGGAGAAGTGTTAGACCAACACATGATAGCTGAACAAACAACAGTTTATCACCATCCTGTGTACCGAGTGCTACTGAATATGCTAATGAAGAATTGTTCGGCCACAGATTCTTGTAGTGTTGTTTATTTATTTATTTTTTCAATTTATCTCGAAATTCCAACATACGTATACAAGGCGTTGTAGACATTCCTGCTAGGAGTGCATTATAAAAAATTGTAAATATCAGCACATTAATTATGGATTTTGAATAATAACCGTTACAGACATAATGTTATTGAAACGATGCTGGAATCACTTACTTTACAGTTAATTATATTTATTTAGAATAAATGTTAATAATTTAAGTATTCAACATTTCCTGGATACCAATAGGTATAAAAAAAAAACAAATAATAAAAAATGTTATTAATAAAAGTTCTTTTTTTTGTATGATTCAAAATCTGGAGAAATAACTTAAGGAAGGCAACTATATCAGATAAACAAAATAAAAACATAGATGAATAATAAAATGTAATCTAGATAAATTTGTTATGCCATAAAATCCAAAAATATACTATGTGCGTATTTTTAGGCACTTACCTAAATATTGCTCGTAATTAAATTTCCAGCTCAATTATTGACCATTACTTTCCGATTTAAAGACATATCTGTCTCATTTATAAATAAGTAGGTACAACCGCGGACTAAAAAAATCCTAGGATTAACAATTAGGATAAAAATTAAATAAGTAATAATTATATGCAATATAGCTATGGGTATAGCTGGTTATAGTATACGCACTATGTATAAATATTTAACTATTATAATATATAGGTACATTCGTAATAAATAATAATAATATAATAAATGTAACGAGGTAATTTTTATTTATTGTGTTGATAACATTGTATTGTGGGAAGATATTTAAATAGGGTTATCTGCAAGTTTAAAAAAATCTTATTTTAGATTCCGGGTGGAGCGATATATATATACATTATACAGAGTGTAACGGAAGGAGTTGACAAATAAAAAACAAATTGATACTATACAGTTAAACGTATAAAAAAAATTATGAAAATTATATGGATAGTAAACAGTTTAAGGTAGATACTTGTATTTTGTTAAACATTTTATTATGTACGTTTCAAATATTAATTTACTGCAAAATAATGCTCATATTAATATATTTAAAAAAATTAATTAACTTGACTTTTAAATAAACGTTTTTACCATAAAAATTTGTCACAAATTAGTATTACGAATTGACTATTTAGAAAAAAAAAATTTTATTTTTATTTTCAGTATTAAAAACAAAAATTACAATAGACAACAAACTAAAAATATAACTGTTTTTTCATAATCGCGATTTAATGATCAGCCGTTTAGTGAAACAAAATAAAACGTTCTAATATAGCTATTGAAATAAAATACCTATAGGTTCTATATAAAAAAATAATTAATACATTTACTGCCGTGATTCGGCAATCGCCAAGCATACTCAGTTGTCATCATCAATTTTCATTTCATAATGAATTTATTCAACTTTAAAATGGCGTTTTGGAATTTATCAATATTAGATAAAATAGAAACCAATTGAAGTATTCAACACCCAGATGTTTATTTTTGTTAATCATTATACAATTTACAGCACCTAATTACTAATAAATTATTCTAATTTATTTTTATATAAACTTATAATCATCCTATCTACAACAATTGTATTAACATTTTAAAAGTTGTAGATGGTATATAAACTGTATAAAGCAGAGGCCACAACAGTGAATTATCGGCACTAAGCACAACTCACACACCCAATTTTTTTTTTTTTAATACGGCACCAAAGTGAACGGCGTCTATAGGTTTGACCGTGTTCGCGGTTATTACCACCGTGTCCGTATCCTGCTGGTCGTATCCTGCTGGTCCGCATAAACGACTGGACACTAGCATCGCCACATTGGGTTCTGCCAGGATTTTCAACTCTGTGTGTACTACTGTGTCAGATGGTGTTTGAATTTCCATTGTAGGGGCTATCACCTCAATATTTATCATGGTAAATAAGCCGTCAGCCGACCGTCAAAGTCAGCCGACCTGCAGCATAATTGCTCACACGTATCGTGGGCTTATCCAAATCCATTTCATTTAATGAAGCTGAAGAAGCTTATATGGTACATGGACACCAAAGCGCCGTTTATTGAATATGTATTTTAATAATTCATATTATTAACCTATCCTACGAGGGTTTATTGTTAGATGCAACCTAACCTGAGTGCACGTTGTATTACACTCAGAATTTATATCTTAAAATTTAGATCATATATACTAAGGATGGATCCATATCCCGATAATTTGAAGTGCATATATTAGCGACGCGTTTCTATATACTATACCAATGTGGCAATGTCGTATATATTGTTTATTTATTTGAATTGATGTAAAATATAAATCAATCAACGAACTGCGGCTAACGCATGCGCTTAACTCAGTGACTCGTCGCTTATTTGTGCGTAAAATTGTTTAAATGGGCTAGTTATTGCTCATGCGTCTCGCTATCCATAGTAGGTATATGAAGAAAAAAAGATTTTTACAAATGTTAAAATAAAATATGTATTCTAATTGTATGTACATATAAAGCAATTAACTAATCGTTATCAAACATTGCATGCATTACTTTAATTATTTCGGTATATTGAAATATTGATAAATTAATGTAAAAATCGTTAGAATATAATATTTGAAGAAGTCAGGAAAGCTCAGTCTGCGAGCGGACTAAATTCTTGATCTCTAAATGTATTTTAATATAACGTAATAAACTTTACAATAATTACATGTACTTAGAAGGACTAAAAATTGGTAACCTTTATATTTTTTCGCCAAGTCTCAGTATTGGCTAATATGAAATACCTACTCAAATGTCGATATTTTAGATTCTGAGCGAAGCGATGAATGTATTCATTTTACAATGATGTGTGTTTTTTTTGTGTCTATGTACATTGTACACGATAAGTAGCCGAAATAATGCTTTGATATTCAACTTCAGTATCTTGTTAGTTGTTGGTATTGAGAAAGTGAATCTAGTTGGTGCATTCGGAAGGACAATAGTAGTATATTTTAGTATGTTCTGTGACCCCCGCAAATCCGGCTCCCCCTTATACAGTTATATCACTCTTATACAATGTTACTTTAATACTTATCTAGTATATATTTTGTTATGTATTTTATTATCCTTGTAAAAGCCGATTGGCGTTAATATATAATTCATAAATGAATATAAATGATAAATATAAATATAAAAATAAATATATTACACCGATTACATTATGATTCATTTTTGTATTCTGGCTAAAAACAACTAGAAAAACATTGCATCATGGTGACCTTATACAAATAACATTTTAGGTCAGTCGTAAAACAATTAAGAAAGAATACCGTGTTTTATAGTATATTTTCATTTTTTGGAAAAAAATAATCAGTCTTGTGATAACAAGACTTAATATATTATAATAATTTAATCAGTGCGTTTTACAATTTATTATATGTATAGTTTACAAACTCATTGATGTATTATGAACGTGCGTATTTTGATTTCCGAATAATTTATAACTGGGAATAAAACCTATTATTTTTGTATTCATTCTATAAGATCATAATATTATTATTGGTTCAAAAGGAGGAGAACGTCTTGAATTAAAATTACCTAACATGACACAAATTTGCATAAAATTTCTCGTAATTATATTACTCTTTTTCACTAACATCAATGCGTACAAATTCTCTCAAAAACAGGTAAATACAAAGTTTTGATTCTTGAAAAATTTGGTAATTTAAAATGTATTTTTTGAGGGCAATATGACAACTTTATTTAACGATATAGAATGCATATCCAGAATATAGGAAGCATATCCAGAAAAATTCAAGAAACTAACCAATTTATACAAAATACAAATCTAACAGTCCGGGAAGTAGGTTACTATAATGCGTTAAAAGAGGGTTATCAATATGTTTACGACGCAGCCAAACTAATTTTCGGCAATGAACCAGCTGCCCCTCCCGAATTTTCAATCAGCCGCAACGATACAGTCATTAGAATTAAACAGTTCAAACATATCACTAATAGTTCAATATCACACGATATACACCATTCGAATAACAATAATAATAATTATGGGGGACGGAGTGGTCGAGCGGACTAAGGCGTCGGTTGCGATTCACACCGACGCCGGTTCGATACCTCGGCAATAGGCGGCATTTTTCTTCGGGCAAGTCACGGTGTCCGGAGAGCAAGTGCCACCATCCCCCCCCATCCGGGCATGGCAGATACCTACGGGTGCCCAAATCAAAAATACTACCAAAACAAACACACACGTTATCCTCCCCCTACCAACAAAAACCTACAAACAAAACAACAAATAGCTAATGACCTAAGTTGCCAGGCTCAAGCTCAATAAAAAAAAAAAAAACTTATTACTATTATTGCAATCACTATAATTTGTCTACTAACAATGTCAATGCCAGCGAAGCCGTAAAAAATCAGACACTCAATCTTCGAAAGAACCATAACCACAGGCGGGGGCTCATCGTTATTCTCGGATTCCCCCCCAAAAAAAAATTCCGTGGTTGGCATGATCCTCCGTGGACGGTAATAACTCTTATGTCTATTAATAAATATTGTAAAATGTAAATTGTAAATCTTAGGCTCTTATGTATACCTATATATATTTATAATCTGTACTTATCCCTTTTTAATCTAATATTTAAATAATTTTGTTTGCTGTCTCAATTATTACATTACGCTCGCCTGTACATAATATACTGAATAATGCAGATACATATTTCATCAGATTAAAACATTTTTAAAACTGTATCCTAATAAACATTATACTAAGTCTTGTAAATATTATGTTGTAAATTTCTTTATATTTGTTAATTTTGTCAAACAGCTAATCATTTTTAGAAGGTGTATATTATTATTTAAAAACCTAATAATCTATTCATAATTTGTACTACAGTAAATATGTTATAAGTATTTGTCAATTTTTTTTTATTTGTAATTTTAATTAAATATTGTATAATTCAACATTGTATGCCATATTGCCATACTTATTATATTATACTTATAATTTACTAATTTAAATGTAATTACTAATGATGTTTTGTTATACCTTAACAGAAATAATATATGCATTTTATTATTTATTATAATATAGTCATTTTTATTTGATTTTGTATTCCTTTAATTTAAAAACCTTTATATTTATTGCATTTACCATGCAATAGTTATTCGTTCAATATCGTTAATTTACTTGTTATAAATAAATAAATAATATACCTCCATTACCCATACCTTGAAAATTATACTTCAATCTACTACCTATATTAGTATACCATACCTCTAAGCATACATACTTTTATAACTATATATATAGTACATTTAGTAGACATCAAAATTTCAAACGTCAGTAAAAACCAATGAACAAAAATGATAAATTACAACACTAAAACCTCCTTTTCTATTTTTTTTTCAATTACCATAGTTAAATAATTATTTTTACTGAATCAAAATCTTGAAAATTTATCCTTATCAGAAGTTCAAAATTAATGAACATATAAAGATTAAAGGCAAACATTTTTTTATAAGCATTTTAAATTTAGGGAAAATGGGGGAATACCGGTCAGTGGGTAATACCGGTCACCTTAAAAATTTTGACAAAATCCATCATAATCACTCAAACACTATCAAATTATTTTGTATTTAAAAATGTATAATATAATGTTCAATTTTTATAGCTAAGAACTAAAAGTTCAAAACAAGGTTAAAATATTTATAAATATAAGTTATACCTATTTAACTATTGCAAATAATAGGTAACAACTAGACAACAAAAAATCGTGGTGAAACGGAAATACTTACACAACACCAGTTTTTAATTAAATTCATCTTCATGTTTTTTTTGTAATTCAAAAATAATTATGTAATCCTAATGAGTTAAAATCTTAATCAAATACTTAAAGTACCTAGAATTTATATAGACCTGATATTATAATGTCTAAAGTATTTAAAAAAATAGAGTCTGCATTTGTACCTATATATAATAGGGCTCGTAAGTTCATGCATCTGCATGTTTTTTTTTGCAACGCAGGAAAACATGCTAACTGAGATACAAATCCGTTTCATAACAATAGTAAAAATAATATGAAGTTTGATAGTGCATGTTTTTGCATGTTTTGGGTGTAAAGAAATATTTGGCATATAGTCGATTTTTTACAGTCGTTAGTGCATATTATTTCATAAAAATATTTTTTAGACAAATATTTGAAAAGTTACTTCCGATTTTTGATATCTTGTGCCAATCGTTCAATATCGCATGGTAAATTAACACGTTTTCTTTAATTTTTTATCGATTAATTATTTAACTAATTAATAAAAATATCGAAAATCTGGCTTCTTGCGATTGTTAAAAAAGTTCTCCACTACAATTTTTACAATAGGTATTTTTGTCTATAAGTGCGCCCACTTAAGTTGGAAAACATAAAAAAAACACTAATAGTACAATATAATTTCTTAAGTAAATATAATTTTAGATTCTGAGTGAATGATATAATATTATTGAATTCAAATGTAATACCATCCATTATACAGTGACCCACTTATAACCTACTGTACAGCAGAGCGACACCCACTTGTCCACCTTTTTTTTTATAAATATATTACTAAATTATCTCAAAATGAAATATCTAATATTTCATTCCAAATGTTTTCATTGTTGGTGCTGAATAATGGTGTACACAATTAGACAAAAAATGACGAGCTAATTACGATTTATAAAGATGACAAAGCCATTTGAACTTCACAAAAGTATTCATTTAATTTTTTAATTTTATCAATTTTGACTGTTAAATATATAAAAATTAAAAGGAATAAAATATTTTTAAAATTTATGGATTTATTCTTATTATTTTAAAATTTGGTCATATTTATTTTACATAATGCATATTTTGATTGCAAAATTTAAATATGATAAGGCATATCATTGCATATTTTCGAACTTTTT